TCCTCTCCTGCCGGCAGACACGAGGAGGAGAGAGCAGAGAAAAATCTCCTTCAGTTGCACATCTGACCACGCACCTCTTGGTTAGGTTGAGAAATAAGTAAAGGATTAACGTGCTGAAGGCAAAGAGCATTTAATCAAACCTTATCATGAGATGATACCCACGGAAAGTAAAAACGAGAAAAGCTTTCAACGTAACCGGGGAAAGACCCAAACCGCTACAGACTGATTAATGGTGCAGAAACCAACGGTTTGTTGATAAGGATAGGTTGGTTATACGCTGGACCCTGAATATTTGGAATAAGGCAGATAAAAACGGAAAATGCGGTTTGATGCTTTAGTCCAATCTCATCTGCTGGGGCTCACGGTTCAGGAAATGTTGTTTATTCTGTTTTTAAACCACAGCCAGTTACCTCTACAGGGAATACACTGACTGACTCATTTTGGTTATGCTACTGTAATCCTGCTCAATATGCTAACCATGCTAGTCACTACATAACATGCTTAAAAACAAGAAAAGAAAATCAACTTTGCTATGAAGTGTTCATTTTGTAATATAAGTAAAAGTTTGTGGCTGAACCGCCTTTGATTGGCTACTTTTCAGGAAATTAGACATCTTGAGTCAGGCGGTTTCTTTCATTTTCGTGGCTAATAACGTTAGCAGAGCATCTTTAGCCTAATAGCTATTCTCTAGAAAAACTAAAAATTGCTTTAGTGAAGTCATTCACAATGAAGGCCCCAGAGCAGGCTTTTGTCATTTGTGCAGGGAAATTCCTCTCAGATTAGACGGACAGCATGTACCAAAAATCTCCTTATTCAGCCGTCTTTGAAACGAGCTGTTTTGGCTTTCCACTCCCCCCCCTCCTAAAGTAAGAGTTCGTAAAGATAGCGCAAGAGGCCGGAAACATTCTAGCTAAATCTAGCGTCTTTTCAGAACCTATTGCGTCTTTATTTCACCACCTAGCACCAAATCTAGTGACTTTTTTCTGTGTTAATAGAGATTTTGGCGACAATGAAGCATCGAACTCTGTCCTCCTGAGCGAGTGGATCTTAAGCCTGCCTCCCTCTGTCTCTCACTGACCGCTGTTGTCATGCAGAGCAGGCTCCCTGTGCTGCAGCAGGGACTAAAACTTATGGTTGAACACAGGGCATTACATTTAAAGTTGGTCTGCAGCTTCTCTTAAGCATTTCTCATTTTGTGTCCAGCATCGTGTTTTTAAATTGTCCATTGATGACAGAGATGCTGTTGGATATGAAGTCAGAGTTTAACCCTTGAAGGGAACCACTTGTCGCCACCTGATCCATCCTGGAAGCAATGAGATCGCGATCGCAGAAAAACTACGTCATAATGGTACTGAAAATACTTATCTATATACTTAAAACATTAAAGAATGCTAAACTACATTGTATAGAAACTATTGAAGGCTTTTCTGGAAGAAATGGATACGTGTTACATTCTGTCCATTGTATTACGTGACATCATCAACGGATCTGTTCAGAGCAGTCACAATAACGTTCAACAGGCTATTTAAGGGTATTGCTTTTTTTTTTTTTTCATTTTTAGAAAATGCAATATTTACACAAATACAAATATATTCAGAAGGAACCCCCCGCTGGAAGAGACAAAAAATTTTCAAAAAGTACGAAAAAAAATTATTGCCTACCCGGAAGTTATTCTGTTTGCGCATGTGCAGGACGGACTGTGCATCGGGTAGTGACACCGCTATTAGCCTGAAGATGCTGCCGTTACTTAACCTGACTCCGCCAGATGGATTTGCTCCGCATATCCATCTGGAAACCTTCCGTTGAAATAATTTTGGGAAGGGGCGAAAATACTGGTTAGCTGATTGGCCTATGTTGGTAATAGACGGGCCAAATAAACCAATCAGATCAACGAAGCATATGACGTACTAACAGAGCGACGACGAAAACACAACCACAAGCCAGGCTACTCTTGCCGAAACCAGTTGGGAGAAGAGCAAAAACATCTTTTCCTCTGAGAACAGCGTTTCCTGGAACCTGGAATGGATTGTAAACAGTTGATGGAGCAAATTGCTCAGAGATGCACCTGAAAACTCTTTCACAATGTAATCCGGTGATATCAGGAATAACAGTTTACTCCCAGCTGTCGGGGCTAAATAATGGAGAACAAAGTGATTGTTTTAATTCAGCCTTTTAAGTTTTTTGGCCGAGGATGTTTGAGGTCCCTTTAATCTCCTTATCTCTTTTTATTTACCTATAATTCCTTTAATCTACTTTAACGATCTCTTCTTCCTGTCATGAAAGATCAGGGCCAGATTACGCCGTTAAGGGCCGAACTGAACTCCAGCACACTTCAGCTGAAAAAAGTCCAGAAAAGTCAATACTGAGCCCACAGCTCAGGTGGACCTGAGTGGGAAGAGGCAGAGATTGTCCTTCACAGGGTCTTATCTAATCAAAAGCAAATATCTTAAGTACTACGATGAGCTTCGCTGCAGTCCACTAATCTCAGCTGATGCCAGACTGACCTTCTGCCATGAAGGATGGAGGCAGAAGCAGCGTCAGAGACTCTGAGAATGAAACATCTCATGCAGAGTAATGATGTTATGGCTAAAAATGTACTATTTAACACGTCTGTACGGCTTTAATTTGGGTTTATTAAAAAAAGCTCTCTGGATGGAATTTAAAAATGTTTCACATATTTTATTAATCTTTTCTTGTATTCAGTAACCTCATAGGTTCTTGGTTTTTTATATCATATAAATACAATTTAAAATGTTGTTTTTTTTAGTTTATTTAGTCAGTATCTAGTACAGCTGGCACAACATTATTCCCATGTAATAATGTAATTTTTCTTTAATTTAACTACATATTAGAAAAGAATATTTAGCTTTTCATGTTATGGAAAAATCCTTTTATTATAAGATAAATTATAATGGCCTCACTTTGGATTCATTCACCAACAGATCAGTTACTTCCCCAGATATCAGTTTCCTTACAAAGGAAGAGTCATTTGCATTTGGTTTAATGATTTATGTTTCCTCTGTTGATAAAGATAACCGATTTAACAGGTGAATCATCTCTTTTTCAACTCTTTCCAAGAAAAGAGACTTCACTCGATCAGCAGGATGCACTGACTTTGGAGTTGCATCACATGCAGGGAAACAGCTGTCTGGATTAGGCTTGTATCGGATCGGACGCCAATATTGGCAAAAAAATGCGTATCGGCAAGGCATGTAAAAATGCCGATCTAGACTGCCGAGCCAGTTTTTAAAAATAAAATCCGGTCCGTATTTTCCAGTTTCGCTGATTGAAACGATCCATTCCACTATTTTGCGCCAGTGTTCCCCGAATCCAGTCCAGAACACCCTCAACACACCCACAGGTCTTTTTGGGTCTGTCTCCAAGCCTAACCATTAAAACAGGTGAATTGGAAGATAGCGGGAAAAAGGCAACCCGGGGGGAATCATAATGGAAGAAAATGGGGGAGTATAAGGCATTTTTGTGTAATAGTTCACTATTATTTGCACTGATTTTTTTTTTAAGCAGTGTCTTTTTTCAAGAGTAAAGTCCTGATTCTAAGTTAATAGAATATTTTCCACTCTTGTCTGTTTTGCATTTTTATTAAAACTTACAGTAATACTTGCACCTTTAACTGTTTACGGTTTTACTGTTCACTGTGCAATTTCAGATTGCTATTCATAATTTTGTCCAGTTTGTGTTTATCTCTTAATAAACAGGTAAGTTTGTTGTTACCAATCATTGTGTTTTATTCAATCTCACCTAATTCAGCTGGCTGGATGTTATCAAGAGTACTAAAACCCTTTTCAACATGAGTCTTACAACTAAGGCTAAATACTTTAACTTAAATACATGCTCGGATAGGCTGGTATCGGCCAGTATCGGTATCGGATCGGAAGTGCAAAAACCTGGATCGGGACATCTCTAGTCTGGATCAAGAGAGGTTTAGTAAGGAGTCAAAACTGCAAAAAAGGAACTCTACAGTAGTACAAAATATGTAAAAAGAAAAAACAGAAATACATTTTTGATATTAATAATTTACTACTATGCGATAAGATTATTTTTTGTGTAGTCTTCTGCCCTCTGTTTTCAGGTATATCTGATTATGTACAATAGGATTTTGAGCAAAGTTTTTACCATTAAATTATGCAAAAGGTGTCAGATGCAAAACATTTTAGAAACCGTATGTATCAAATACGATACATCTGGCATTATAGGGTTAAAGGTTTTAGATGCACCATCTGGTGAACTGTAAAGGGCCTTAAGATGACGTGTTGTGAATGGGCGCTATATAAAAAAACTGAATTGAAGTGAAAATCGAATCATCTAATAACACAGCTACGTCTCTTAGCAAGGCTAATTGAAAATCCTTTGTAATCACCGTTTGTTACCATTTTACAAACACCTATTATGTTGTAAAACGGCTCAGGGTGGGTGCACAAAGTGTTTTGCTCCCACAGAGACCTCATATTTGCACAGTGAAGCAGTTTTTTCCTGTATCACACCTTAGCAGAGCAGGTAGCAGACAGAGAAGAAGAGTTGACAAACTGCAAGCCTACGCATGCTGCGCTACACACTGTGTTAAAACTCCAGACGTGAGAGTTCTTCACACATGATTCATGCAATCCAGCAACAGGATCTGCTGCATAACACCTTATGGCAGGAGATGGGATGAGATGGGAGTGTGAAGAGGTGCAGTGAAGAGATCTGGACAAACAAACAATTCTAACTGCTTTGCATTAAGAAAGAAACAGCCCATCTGTGTTAACCTGTGAAGAAGTCACAGCAGTACTACAAAATGTAAAGGGTGTGTGGATTTTCTCACAAACCGGTCATAAGAGGTGGACCTTTTGTCAGACACTCGATAGATGAATAAAAAGGTGGAGTTAAAAAGGTGAAATCAGCTTGTAAATGTAATTCTCTCATCAGAAGATCAGACTTTTTACTCTTCTATTAAAATGTAGGTTCATTTTTTATTTTTTTTGGGTGTATGTATGACTCACTCTTGCTGGAGCGCTGTCTGGGCCCCCGGCGGCATGTCTTCTCAGGTTGATGACGTGCACCTCCTCAGGCAGGCTCATGGTGCCGTTAGTTGCACAGCCTGACAGGATAGCGTAGCTCTGCACCACGGCTTGCACCGGGTGACCTGCCCCGACCGGCAGCAGCTCACACGGAACGCGCGACACTGGCCCTTCAGAGAGACAACAACCAATTAACTTTATAGCAATTTATGACATTTATGAGAGAGAAAAAAAGTTGAAAAATAAACTACAAAACTACTCATACAACTAGGAGTTTCTCCACATTTTTTCCGACAAAAATAGAAAAAATCGTAATCTAGATAAGTCATTTTTTCTTGAATTGAGGAGGTAAAAGAGACATTTTTCCAATGGAACGAGACAATTTTCATTTAAAATAAGAAAACACAATAGCATTGTCTTATTTCAAGTGCACGTTATCTAATTATCTTATTTTAAATATAAAAATACTCATTCCTTTGGTAAACTATCTCATTCACCTACTCAAATTAAGTATAAATACACTTAATATAAGACATTTTTATTTATTTATAGATCGTTTTTCCAGTGTATCCACAAACTTTGATGTGTTTTCCAAAGAATAAACCAGCTTAGAAAAGTGCATAATTAGTAGCAGAAGGATCATATGGTTTTCAGTTTGTTTTTGTTTTTTTCCAAACAAAGTTTAGAAAAGCAAGAGGTGCAATTATCGTGATTCGGGGTTCTTTGATTTTTTGTGTGTTCGTTTTCTGTTTCTCTCTGTTATTTGGTTTTGTTTTACTTTCTGAGTTCATCGTTTGCTTGTTTTAGTTTTAACTTTTTACTTGAGTTTTTCAGTCATGCCTTCAGCTTGTTAACATACTAGTGTTAGTTTTTTCTGTTTGGGTTTTGCCGTACCGGTTCATTTCTCCATAGGTGTGTTTTTTTACACTTTCTAGTTTATTCTTCAGTCTTTCTTCTCCAATTTGTCTGAAGTTCCATCATGTCATCTTTCATTTGTTAGGATCTTTTGTTGCAGTTCTGCTCCATTTCAGTTGTTTTCTTTCTTTTTCTTTCTGTATAATCAGTCAGATCATGTAAAGCTGCTGTCATTCCTGTTTTTTCTGCAACATTCAGTTCACATACTAACCAGCCTTTGTTCTGCCCTGTCAACTCCTACTTATACCTGTCAGTTTGATTTCCACCTTCAAAGTTGAATCCTTTTTACCATGCCATGAGTTTTTTCCCCCACAGAGCCTTAAAATCTGTGATGTCACACGTTTCTACGGGTTGATAATAAACAAATAATATTGAGTATCTGCCATAGGGCATGGAATGCCGTGCACCTTTATAAACGTTGACACCTACGCATGTTTCCGACAGCTTTTGACCTGCAGTATATAGGGATTTCATTAAGGATTACTGTGGGAGTCAAAGTTGCACAAGTAGACACACTGGCTCCACTAAATAACAATAGTAAAAATCTTATATAGGACCATATAAAGCAGGGTTCTTCAACCCTGGTCCTCAAGATCTAGTATCCTGCAGGTTTTGGATGCATCCCTGCTTTAATACAGCTGAATCAAATAACAGAAAAACCTTTTTCAGTTTGGCAAAGGTTTGGTAAAAAGCCATTCATGTGATTATGTGTTGGAGCAGGGTTGCATCTAAAACCTGCAGGAAAGTAGATCCTGAGAACCAGGGTTGGAGACCACTGATTTAAAGCATCAT